TGTCAGGGAACATGGCTGGACACGTGGTGCTGGAAAAGTAGCTGAGAATTTTACAGCTGGATCCAGAGGCAGCAGAAAGAGATACTGGTCCAAGCATGGGCTTCTGAAACCTCAACGTCCACCCCCAAAGCGACACACTTCCTCCAGCAAGGCCACGACTCCTAATCCCTCTCAAGTAGCATCTCTTCCCTGTGGCTAAGCATTCAAACATGAGCTCGTGGGGCTTTTTTGTTTGTTTGTTTTTTGAGACAGGGTTTCTCTGTGTAGTTTTGGTGCCTTTCCTGGATCTCTGTAGACCAGGCTGGCCTCGAACTCACAGAGATCCTCCTGGCTCTGCCTCCCGAGTGCTGGGATTAAAGGTGTGAGCCACCACAGCCCGGCTTGTGGGGCCATTCTTATTCAAACCACCACATGAAGTGAAGTCTTCTTGGAGAAGCTCGTGGTGGAAAAGCCAGCCACAGCTGGGCCTGGAATTCCCGGCCAGTCTGCATAAGAGGAAGCTGAAGTTTGGTGAGATGTTCAGAGGCTACCACAGATGCCTGAGGACTTGAGTTCAATCCCTAGGTCCCACATGGTGGAAGGAGAGAACTGACTCCCAGAAGCCGTCCTCAGACCTTCACCTGATGGCTGCAGCACACACATTCACACACAGCTTCACACACACATTCACACACACCTACCACCCACAATAAATAAATGTAAAAAAAAAATTGGAAGAGGGAGTTGAGCTATTAAGATATAAAAAGGGTTCAGGGCTGATTTGAAGAGTCCCACCACCAGCAGCAGCCAGGAACGGGACAATCATTACAATTTATTAAAATCCATCAATCAATGTGCTCATCGTTATATTCAAATTTATTTTAAAGAAACTAATGGGTGGCTGTAACAGAATGACAGGAAACCAATTTATTATCTCACATGAAGCATTTCTTCTGCCTTCCCACATCAGCCATGCCCCCATAATCAAACAGTAATGAGCACACATGTCTCTTTATAAAGGTTCTCTGTCTAGTAAATGAAAAAGAAATGGAAGAATCAGAATATAGCATTTTGTGTCTCCAATAAATTAATAAATTTAGGCATTTACACTAATGGCCGAGACTGTCACAGGAAAAGAAAAGATAACCAGATAACCTAGGAAAGAGAGCACAGCACCGTGGAGTCACCGGATGTACAGAGCCCAGCTGATCGATCTCCGAGTCTGGCTTTTCAGTACCTGACCTGAAACTGGAGCTGTGTGTGAACCACACAGGCATCAGCAAAATCCAGAATTGTGGGGGAGATGCTACGATTCTTCAGTAGACATCCGATCATGGGAATGATTCCTTGAAAATTGAGTCTTCTTGGGTAAACTAAAAAGAGAGGATGAAGGAGTCGGTCTGCAGATTAAAGGAGATGTCAGCCATGTGCAGTGATTTTTATACTTGGTCTAAGCCAAAAGGCTGAGCAGTGGTGTCATACTTTGTAATGGGGACAACTAAGGCATGGTGTCTAGAAAGAGACATTTAGGGGGTAAAATTACTCAATGCCATGAGGGAGTGAGTGGTACAAGGTTCATGAGGACTTCCGTTCTAACGAAGACAGAGTGACGAAGACCAGATTTATTCTCCAGTCCAAAATCAGTAAGATAAGAGGCCAATAATATAAAGCAGGGGGCGGGGGAACCCTTGACTTCCGACACTGAATGTCTTGCTTCAAAGAGCGGTGACCACTGAGAGGGGTAACAAATGACTGGGCTCTAGAGTGGCCCCAGCTTAGCCTGTGTCGACTCTCCCGACCAGACTGAGAGACCAGTCAGCAAAGTGCCCCTGTCCGTCCGTCCACGTCGTCCAGTCTCCCGGAGTTGAGGAGACAAGGCTGAGAGTTTGGGATTGTGCCAGGGAGAGACCGAGGCAGAGAGAAGGTGCTCTGAGGCACTCATCAATTCAGGTAGGGATGGAAATTGCCAAAAGCCTGGGGATGAACCACCCAGAGGTCATTTTCAGGGGCCCACCAGCAAAGCCTGTGGCCTCACCCAGCACAGGAAGAAATCTACTAGAGCAGGAGGATTCTAAGATCCAAGTCATGAGGCCAAACTGGCTCTGGAGCCAAAGCTGTTCAGCCCCTTTCCAGAAATGCTTAAACCTCAGGCCTCAAAATGCCCCAGCAGTTTCCAAGCAACTTGCATTCCAGAAAAGAAAAAAAAAAAAAAAACCCTCAAGAATGTGTTCCAGGAATGTAAAACATCCACCAAGACAAAGATCACAGCGTGCAAGTGTGCGTGCATGCGTGCATGCATCATGACCCAGGTTACAAATGAACAGCAACTTTAACTGATAATGAGAGAGAAAAAAATATGATAGAGCTGACAGGCCAAAGTGTGCAGCAGTTGTTAGAACCGTAGTCCAGACAGCTGACAGCAGAGGAAGATCTAAACACATGAGAAAGCCTCAAATACATTTTGAGAGATTGAAACTAAAAGCAGTTGAAAACTCAGACAGACACACACACACACACACACACACACACACACACACACACACACACACACACTCAGAAGAAGAGTATGATACACGGCAAAAGAAAAGTTTCAACTTGAAAATACTAAAATGGGAATTATTCAAAACGGAACACAGAGACAAAAGACAGGAGGAAAAAGAGCGGCGGTGAGCATGACAGTGTGTCCAGCCTTAGAAGCGGTAACTGCGTACCCCCGAAGGGGAGAAGGAGAAGGGAAGGGGTCCTCTTTGCTTCTGCTTCCCTGTTGCTGTGATCAACACCATGACCAAAAAACAACCCAAGAAGAAAGGACATATTTCAGATCACAGCCACCACTGAGAGACGCCAAGGCAAGATCTCAAGACGGGAATTTGAAGCAGAAACCGATAGCACCTGGTGTGGGAGCACAGCACTAGGAAGGCAGAGGAATGGCAGATCTCTGTGGGAGGCCAGCCATAGTGAGTAAGTTCCAGGACAGACAGGGCTATGGAGAGACACCCTATCTCAAAATACAAACAAAACAAAAAAGAAAAAAGAGAAAGAACTCTGCTTACTGGCTTACTCTCCCTGGCTACCTTTCCTGCATGGAGCATGTCCACTTGCCTAGGGATGGCACCACCCACAGTGGGCTGGGTTCTCCTACATCAATCAGCAATCAAGAAAATGCCCCCAAAAACATGTCCACAGGCCCATCTGATGGGAGCAGTTCCTCAGCTGAGGTTCCTTCTTGCCAGATTTTCAACCAAGTTTAGCCATAATAAGAGAATTTTTTGGTGTTTGGTTTTTGAAGACAGGGTTTCTCTGTGTAGTTCTGGCTATGGCTGTCCTGGAACTCACTCTGTAGACTAGGCCGGCCTCAAACTCAGAAATCCACCTGCCTCTGCCTCCTAGTGCTGTGCTCCCACACCAGGGATTAAAGGTGTGTGGTGTGTGCCACCACCACCTGGTAGGAATTTTTATTAAAATAGTGGCTGAAGACAGATGTTCTGTGGCATATGCCTGTAATCCCAGCATTCCTGAGACTGAGGTAGGAGAATCTTGAGTTTGAGGACAGGCTGAGCTATATAGCAAGACTCTGTCTCAAAAACCAAAAGGAGCCAGGTGGCGGTGGCACATGCCTTTAATTCCAGCACTCGGGAGGCAGAGCCAGGCGGATCTCTGTGAGTTCGAGGCCAGCCTGGGCTACAAAGTGAGGTTCAGGACAGGCACCAAAACTATACAGATAAACCCTGTTTCAAAAAACCAAAAAAAGATATGCTCCAAGAGTCTTCTCCTGGACAAATCTAAATCCTGTCAAGCTGAAAACCAGTACTAATCACCTACTTCTGTCTTGTGAAGAAACCGGAAGGCATGAAACTAAGATTTAGCAGCGACTATTTTGTGTGTGTCGAGAACCTTTTTTTCATTCACTTTGTAACCTATGTAAACAAATATTTCAAATGAAAATACTCCATTCATAAATCATGTGTTCCTTGGGAACAAAATTCATACTTTTGGAACCAATTCACCATCTTAGTTTTTTTGATGATATCAGTCCTGGCTGTTCCTGACTGAATCACTTTCTGATCCTTGGTGACAACCAAAATCTAACAAAATTAATAAGCATTATAAAAGAAAATAAATGATATACAGGAGCAAATTAGAGACAAGATAATATTATGTTTCAAATGTAGAACTTCCTGTTCTGGTTAGTGGTAATATTTGGCAGGGAGATGGCAGGTGAGGAACAATAATCCTGAAGTCAGATCTGACAATCTTCCAATCCTTAGGATGTCACTGAGGGACTCTGGTGTGCTTCGAAGGGTTTTATGGCTGTTTTGTAATCCAAGAGGCTGAGGTGCCAGCATTATAAATGCTGCTGAAAGGTTTTCATGTTTCTGATATTCTAAATCAACCATTATCGTGTTTCTCAATTTCATCTAACAAAAACCTCCATTAGCTGTACCCCAAACAAGAACAAGCTTCAGTAAGGCTGATGATGGGCCACACACCTTTAACATCACCAAATGATCATGTCCCACAGCAGGGAAAATCAGCACAGCCCGAATACTAAACCAGAAATCTGAGAGTCTGATACAGGCACAGCCTGCTATGAAATTAATTGCTCACGGAGCCAGCCAGAAAGTGAAAAATATACCGTCGAACATCTGTTGTTTGTGAATGACGAGGGTCAGGCCGCGTAAGATCAGCTCCTGCATTTTCCAGTGCTCCTGCATTTTCCAGGAAAGTACCTCCATTCTGCAAAGATCAGCAACAGGACTGCGATGTCCTTCAGTTCAAAACGAATGCCAGCTTTTCTGCCTGCTTTCTGATCCACCAAGATGTGAGCAAGCAGCCTCCCCTGCAAACCCACACCCACCCCTCCCTGTACCCATTATGAACAGGATCCGTGATGGACCATATCCCTGAAGCCAACCACCCAAATAATGCCCCCCCCCGCTTAAAAAGCAAACAAAATGACTGTCAGATTGAAGTTGATCGATTCAATGTGGGAATAAAAGACAGAATAAAACCAACCTCAATAGTGGGGGAGGGGGAAGACTGCCTTTTAATACCAGAACAGCGAAGAATACCAGTTTCTTCTCGGGAGTGGCAACTATGCCCTGGTACAGGGGGCTTGGGGCTTCTCAGGACGGAAGAGGGGACTACTGGAAAGTTTTATCAATGGATGTGTTCTTTATAGTCCCAAGACCAACGTTCAGCAGATGTTCTCCTTACTGAGTTAGTGTCTTTTGTTGGGCAGGTGGCCTTATCAGGATGCTGAGTCAGGAGTTTCTCAGCTCAGTGGTTAAGAAGACCCAGGTTCAGTTCCCAGCATCCACAGTGGACAGCTCTCAACTATCTGTAACTCCAGCTCCATGGGATTTGACACCTCCTCTGGTCTCCACAGGTACTGCATGCACATGGCACATATACAGACAAGTAGATACACACACATACACATAAATAAAAGAAATTTTAGAAACATTTCCAACTATGAAAAAGGAGCATAGTATTATGATACCATGCCCACTCACTCAGTGTGGTACAGAATTCAAAAGTTGAGGTTTTACTGCAACCTTTGATAAATATAGGGGGAAATTTTTTACTTTCAGAAGAAGCTTTGGGAGCTCTTAATTCAACTGAATCACAAACATGCATAATAGATCTCAGGATGTGTACACATGAACTAAAAGTTATTTTCATTCCAAATGCATCAGCAATGCAAGCATGTATGTAGCACAGGGAGACAAGGAGCAAATGAACAGCACAGCATCTCTCCGGCAGAGGACCACAGTGATAATCCTTAATAGTCCAGCTCCCTGAAGGCATACTTCCAGGGCTACATTCCAACAGTCATGGAGGGCAGCAGCCATCCTCTGTTCAGCATGGCTGGTTCCCACTCAAGGGTTCTGGATCCCTAGGAGTGGCCTCAGTCAGAGGCCCTATGCAGAGATATGTTCTTGGAAGTGGGGTGTAGATGTAACTAACAGTCTTATTAAATAAAAAACATAAAACCAATGCAAAGAAGAAAGCCAAGAGGTCAGAGCTAAGAGCTAAAACCTTACCCTTCCTCCTGCAGTGGTCCTACTTCTCCGAAAGAGAGCTACTTCCTGTGTTAAAGTCCTTATAAAGACTTTCAGTTCTGCCTTCTCATTGGTTGTAAACCCAACCACATGACCACCTCGTCATTGCCTGTCTGTACAGACCTCCACGTCTTCTATAGTTGTTATTGAGATTAAAGGCGTGTGTCTCCAATGCTGGCTGTATCCCTGAACACACAGAGATCTACCTAGCTCTGCCTACCAAGTGCTGGGATTAAAGGTGTGCACTACCACTGCCCAGCTTTCCTATGGCTTGCTAATAGCTCTGACCCCCGGGGAACTTTATTTATTAACATACAAATAACATTTTAGTACAAAATAAAATATCACCATAGTGGGGGATGCCTCCCTTGATTTCCTCACCACACGAACAAGGTGGAGACTAACCTCCTCCAATGAGATGGAAAAAAATGAATGAGCAGAGAGGGGTGGGCCTACAAGGAGAGCAGGGTAGAGGTGCTTTGGCCTTCCGACAAAGGCTGACTCTAAGGCTGCTGTGTCCTGGTACTGACAAAATGACTTGCCAGTGACATACTGGAGCAGCCAGAAGATCTGAAGATATGAGCTGGGCACGATGACACATGCATAGAATGCCAGCCTTCAGAAGGCTAAGGCAGGAGGATTGCTGTGAGTTTGAAGCCAGACTGTGCTAATTAGTGAATACCACGTCACTGGGGCTACATAGGAAGAAGAAAAGGTGGGGAGAGAAAATTGCCAACATATCATGAGAGTCTGGGCATGAAGCCGTACGTTTTCTCAGGTCCCGCCCGGCACCGCGGTCCCTGAGACACTTATAAAATAATCATTCAGAGGCTTAATATTAATCATCAATAGTATGGCCTATAGCAGGCTTCTTGCTAGCTAGTTCTTATAATTTAACCCATTTCTATTAATTGGTAAGTCGCCACGTGGCTATGGCATTACTAGTCTGCTGTCTCCTTCAGCTGGTGTCTCTCTCTCTCTCTCCTCTCCTTTTGGGTTCTTCTCTCCATATACTCTCCTTGAATTTCCCGCCTGCCTCTAAGCTGCCTTGCCATAGGGCAATGCAGCTTTATTTATCAACCAATCAAAGTAACACATATTCACAGCATACAGAAAGACATCCCACAGCATGGGCAGATTTATTATACTTAATACCCTCTTAAAAGAGCATTATTGTAGTCTTTGGGGGGCTTCTAGGACAAAATACCAGAGGCTAGGTAATACACAAACAGAAAATTTACTGTGCACTGTTTCGGAGACTGGGGAGTCAAAGATGGGGGTGCCAGTGGGTGGACCTTCCTGATGCACCCCAAATGGTAGAAGAGGAGTCACTGCTGGGAGTAAAAGATGGGGTGCCAGTGGGTGGACCTTCCTGATGCACCCCAAATGGTGGAAGAGAAGACACTGCTCCAGCCTCTTTTTGAAGGCCACTAACTCACTTCCTAGTGCCTCACCTCTTAATACAGTCACATTAAGGGCTCAGCCTCACATAGTGAGATCATAGCAAGTATCCTTCTATGCAAAAAGCACATACAACAGAAAGATCTGGCAGTACCCTTCCCAGCGGGACAAGGAGTTCCCGTGTAGAATACAACTGCAAAATTCTTACGTCCAATCATTCTGGCATCTATTTTTTCCTGTGCTGTCATGTGAAGCACACATTATATCTTGTCTGTATACATACATTTATCTCATATGTATAGTTATCTCTGGGGGATCTAAGACCCCAGCAGATAGCAAAATGCAAGGATTCTCAAGTCCCTTATATGGAAGGATTCCCTACTTGAACCTAACACAGCAATACCCTGTCTTAAAAGAAAAAGGAAGAAAGAAAGAAAGAAAGAAAGAAAGAAAGAAAGAAAGAAAGAAAGAAAGAAAGAGAGAAAGATAGAAAGAAAGAGAGAGAGAGAGAGAGAGAGAGAGAGAGAAAGAAAGGAAGGAAGGAAGGAAGGAAGGAAGGAAGGAAGAAAGAAAGAAAGAAAGAAAGAAAGAAAGAAAGAAAGAAAGAAAGAAAGAAAGAAAGAAAGAAAGAAAACACAAAAGGCAGGAAGGAGGTGCGCTGTGAACAGCACAGGAATAAACAGACACAGTGGTGCTTACGGCACAGATGCCGCAGAGGTTTACTGTCAACATCAGCACCATCATTAAAGCACTCTGCAGCTGCTGACATGTGGGAAATGCCGAATAAATAGCAGCTATTTATATTACTACTACACTGTGCGTTCTCATATTAAGTAACATTCATAACAAAGATTCATAAGGCAAATATTTGAAGACATGATCGCAAAGCAGAACTTGGTGGCCCGCCCCCTCCCTCTTCAACCACCGTTATCGCTCTGAGATGAAGAGACAGCCTCGCCGAGGCTCTACTGCTTGTCCCAGGCCACGTGTGCACACGCTGGGCCAAGAGCTGAGTCTGTCCTGTCTAAACACCCCCTCTTCCCTTGAGTGAAGCAGATAAGGATGGAATAAATCGGAGGAATGTTTACACGTCTTCATTCATCCGGTCAACTGGGAGACATGTTTCCCCCTCTACCATTTAGTCACCAATGAGCCCTATGACAGACCAACACAGGTCCTAGAGGGAACCTGGCAGTTGTCTTGCCAAATGACATGTGGCCACACTACATCTAAATATTCGTGTTTAGACACACAGGTTAGTGCTGCCCTCAACCCTGGCCATAGAAGCCTCTTCTGCAGTGGGCAGCGATTAACGCAGAGACACATAACCACTCAAGGTGCTGAGAATAAATGACTGTTAACTGGATACTCAACTCTAAATGGGACTTCTACATCAACCTTACCCTCAGGTCTCTGGGAACGTGGCCAAAGAGGATGCAGGGAAAGATGTTAGAGCCAGCAGATGAGGATGCAGGATGTTAGAGCCAGCAGATGAGGATGCAGGATGTTAGAGCCAGCAGATGAGGATGCAGGATGTTAGAGCCAGCAGATGAGGATATAGGAAAGGATGTTAGAGTCAGAAGATGAGAATGCAGGAAGGATGTTAGAACCAGAAGTTGAGGGTGCAGGAAGGATGCTGGAGCCAGAAGATGAAGATGCAGGAAAGGATGTTAGAGCCAGCAGATGAGGATGTAGGATGTTAGAGCCAGCAGATAGGAAGAAGCGCTGTGCTATGGAAATGTTGTCTTCCAGACATGACATGATTGTTTTACTCATGAGCTCACTGCAGCTCTGGTCACCTGAATGAGAACTGCACAAGGTCAAGCTAACAAGATCAGTCAAGATCCCATCAGGCAGCAATAATTGGACTCAGTGGGTTACAAAAAAAAAAAAAAAAAAAAAAAAAAACGTCTTGAAGGTGGGAAGAAGGCATTTGGGAAGTGTGGTGTGTGGGAAGGGGAAGTTGGAGGGTATGATCAAGATACATTGTAAATACATATGCAAAGAATACAATACGAAGTATTCTAAAGAAAACATGACATACCAACTATGAGCCATGGGGCTCATAGTATTAAGAAAGCAGAATGCAGGTGGTATTAAGAGTTCCTTAAGTCAGGCGTTGGTGGCATGTTCCTTTAACCTCAGCACTTGGGAGGTAGAGGCTGGTAGATCTCAGTGTGTTTGAGGCCAGCCTGGACTACAAAGCAAGTTCCAGGACAGCCAGGGCTACACAGAGAAACCTTGTCTCGAGAAATAAAACAAGAGTCCCTTAAATAAGGTGGATGTGTCATCCTCCCCCCCCCCCCTCATAATAAAGGATATTAAAAGACCAAGGTCCCTACAATGCTGGGGACTCATATGCCCCCCCACCCCACCCCCGCGCTCAGGCTTCCTAGGCCATACTGACTCCTATGCCACTCACTCAGGGCCAGAAAACAGGGAGCAAGAAGATGTGCCGCTTGCCTCTAAGAGCTTGATTTAAAAGTTACACAGATAATATGTGCAGAAGGAGCCAGAGCACAGTGGTGTAATCATACACAACTGCAGGGGAACCTGGGAAGTGCAGTCTAGATGTCTGGCTTCATTTGGAGAATCCGACTAATAAAGGAAAACGACAGGGGCTGGAGATGTGAGGCAGCTGGCAGAGTGCTTACAAAGTGTGCGTAACAGGCCTGGATTCGATTCCCAGCATTACACAAATTGGACATGACGGTGCCTCTGGACTCGCAGAACTTGGCAGGTAGATGCAGGAGGATCAGAAGTTCAAGGTCATCCTTGGGGCTAGCCTGGGCTACCCAAAAGAGGCCAGCTTGGGCTACATGAGACCCTGTCTCCAAAAAAAAGGGAAAAAGACATTGAAAAGTGGGCAAGCAACAGCCAATTCTGCCCTCCAAGTTTATTTCTACTCTCTGCCAAGACTGCGCTACGACAACCATAAAAATGTTTAAAGGCATAAATTTTCAAGGACAGACAAAGTAGGAGAAATGGCCACAGATGAAAAATACACAAGCAAACCGTATTTCCAGGCTGGTACCCTTTCCCAGGCAGTTCCTGGAAAGTATGTCCTACTGGATGAGTCCAAGTCCATTACTATAACAAAATACATGAGATGAATTATAGAGAGAAAAAGGTTCTGGCTGACAGTTTTAAGAGGCTTCAGTCCATGATCAATTGGCCACTGCTTTAGGCATATGGCAACATAACACAGTCTGGTGGGGCAAAGATGTTGAAGCAAAACAACTCATGTCACGGCCCAGAAGCAAAAGCAGCCAAGGTCCCATACCTCCCACTGACAGCACATCCCTGGTGACATCATGACCGGTGTCACAGAACAATTTCCCTTGAATTGAAAACATTCTACCATAAAAGGGAGCTCCTTAGGATCCAAGAAATTCTAAAGGGAACTTCATTAAGACTCAGGAAGTAGGAGCTGGAGAGATGGCTCAGGGGTTAAGAGCAGTGTCTGCTCTTCCAAAGGACCTGGGTTCAATTCCCAGCACTGGTAACTCCAGTTCCAGGGGATCTGACACCTTCACAACAATGTACATAAAATAAATTTAAATAAATTATTTAAAAAAAAAGACTCAGGAAGTAAATAGGAGCTGGCACACACCTTTAATCCCAGCACAGGAGGCAGAGGCAGGTGGATCTCTGTGAGGCCACCCTGGTCTACATAGAGAATTCCAGGACAGCCAGAGCTATACAGTGAGACAAAAAAAAAAAAAAAAAAAAAAAGCTGAGGAAGTAGACAACTTATAAGTCTCAAGAGAATCCCTGAAATTTACCAGATTTGCATGATTACATAAGCAGTAGGGGATCCCGAAGAGAGACTCTTTCTGACTTGTCCAGCTGCCTGTAAGTCCTGCAGAGAGCTTGAGGGTTCCAGCTGGAATCATCACACTGGCTGGGGTAGGTTGTTGGTGACGTAGCTTTCCTGGGGCATCCATGTGCCTTTACATAACCCCAGTAAACTCACTGGCTCAGCATGTTAGACTTTGGTGGTGTCCTCCTTTGGGTCTGTCATTAGTTCCCCTCTGTAGAAGGCATTTCTACCATTTCCTGGAAGCTCCAGGTTGGAAGCTAAACCTTTAACAAAAGAGCCTTTTAGGGGCATCCAAGAACTACACCAATGTGCCACCTAAGCAAGAAAGTCCATCAAGAAAAAAGGTGGAAGGTCCCATACAAGAGAGGGACGGGATTGTCGAGGGAGTAGGAAAGGTGCCCTAGTTAGCTTTAATGGTCAACTTGACACAGGCTATAGTCATCTGAGGAGAAAGCCTTACCTGAGGATTTACCCACCTGTGGGCATGTGTGGGGGCCAAGTTGTCCTAATTGTTAACTGACGCCATCCCTAAGTAAGGGCGAAATAAAAAAGAGAGCTAAGTAAGCATGCGTCTAAGTGTGAGCCAGCAATCGGTATTCCACCACGGTTTCTGCTCCAAAATCCTGCTTAAGTTCTTGCCCTGAGTTTTTTCAGTGATGGACTGTGACCTGGAAGTACAAGCCAGACAAACCCTTTCTTCCCCCTGACCTGCTTTCTAGCATGGTCTTGTCACAATAAAAGAAAGAAACCTAAAAACAACAACAAAAAAAAAAAAAAAAAAAGTGATCTCAACAACTACTCACATAGTGGTGGCCAGGTGGCACACACCTACTAATCAAAGAGTGTGCACTTGATCACAATATTCGATATTGTGCTAATGTATAGCATGGTGGCTATAGTTGACAATGCTGGCTTGTGCGGCTTGAAATCCGTTAAGAGAAAGGAACTGTCACATACACATACTTTTCATTCCATCCTGCAGGGAAGCTCAGAAGGTAAACAACTCAAAGCAGCTCCAGGAAGTTCCTGAAACTGACCAGATTCACTAAATCCCTCCCTCCCAATAGTGAACAATAAAGACAGCTGAGATCCATTCTCAGACAAGCCAAGCTATAAAGATTCTGAGACCAGACCAGCTGCCTGGGTCAAGCAGAAATCAGCAAAACTACATGGAAGAGGCTTAGACCAACTGAGTGACTTGGAAGGGACACTCTCCAACCTATGGAAGTGCCTGCAGGCTGTGCAATGTGCTCCAGATACCCAGATTTTGTGAATTGGCACCATTACTGGCTTGGGCTTTGGTGGTGTATCTGTCTTTGAGTCATTTCTGCTCCTGTAAGTGACCCTTCACCCATATTCCTGCAAGCAATCCCAATAAAACTCATTGGTTCACCAAGCTGAACTTTAGTGGTATCCGTACTTTGGTCTGTCATGGCCTCTCTATTCGGAGTGAGTAGATGTCCTCTTAAAAAAAAAAAAAAAATAGGGCTGGAGAGATGGATCAGAGGTTAAGAGCACCGACTGCTCTTCCAGAGGTCCTGAGTTCAATTCCCAGCAACCACATGGTGGCTCACAACCATCTGTAATGAGATCTGGCGCCCTCTTCTGTATACATAATAAATAAATAAATCTTAAAAAAAATATATCCTTCTCTTTCAATCTTTTTTTTTTTTTTTTTTGAGGGGGTGGTTCGAGACAGGGTTTCTCTGTGTAGCTTGGAACTTGCTTTGTAGACCAGGCTGGCCTTGAACTCACAGAGATCTGCCTGTCTCTGCCTCTCGAATGTTATGCCACCCCCCCCCAACCTTCTCTTTCATTTAAAAAATTTTTTTATTTATTTTTAGTTTATGTGCATTGGTGTTTTGCCTACATGCATGTTTGTGTAAGGATTCCAGATTCCCTGAAACTGAAGTTACGGACTATTGTAGAATATTATTTCAAGGTGTGTTACTTTTGTTTGTGCTCTGGAACATTTGTTTAATGATGCGACGATGTGTTTGATTAAATAAAATTCACCTGTGGTCAGGAGGCTGCGTCAGCAACGAGCTGACAGGAAGTGGTGAGGGGAGCCAGGTGAGAAAGGGTTTATAAGGAGGGCAAGGAAAAGCTTGGGGGCTTTTTGGAGGACACACACAAGGAGAGGAGGTGAGCTTCTTGCTATTCAGCCTCTCTGAAGAGCAGAATTCCCCCTGAACCTTTGAATCCTGAGTTCTTTAGAGGGAGAGAGGTTTAGTTCCCCTTATAGCTTTGCAAGAGTTGGAGCCGGAGGGAACAGATGTTGGTAGCCATGGAGTTGCAGTTGCTGATTCCGACAGCTGTGGCTTAAAAGGCAGCAACCACTTAAATAAAGGACAACAACAAACAGTTGTGAGCTGCCATGTGGGTGCTGGGAATTGAACCCAGGTCCTCGGGAAGAGCAGCCAGTGCTCTTAACCACTGAGCCGTCTCTCCAGCCTCCCCCCACCCCCTTTCATTTTAATGGTAAAATTTAGTTTCCAGGGAGGGCCATCAGAGATGCCTTGACATCCAATGGCCAGAGTCATTTCAGAGTAGTTCTGGCCAGCAGGCTGGCCCAGTGGTTAAAGTGTTTACCCGGGCAAGGCTGATGGCCTGAGTCCTGCTTCTGGTCCACAGCAGAAGAAGAAGACCAACTCCAAAAGCTTATCTCTGACCTCAATGTATATGTTGTGTTATGTACACACATGTTACAAAATAGTAATAATTTTTAAAGTGTCCTCTTGTCTCCAGAAAATAACTAAGGGCCATAGTTCAGCCTATTACACCAGACAGCAAGCAGTGATGTGTGGACTTAGCTTAATAAACGCTGTTCATTGAGCAGATTTTTTTTTTCCTCCAGGAGGGAACACAGTTCCCTTGCAGTAATCTTAATAGATGCAACTGGGCTCCATTTCCTGGCTTTGAGGTGATGAAAAATTAATTTCCATACTTCAGAAATAATAGTTCCCACTCACAGCACTACAGTAGAAGTAAATAGAGCATCACTAGTTACTATTATAGCAATGTTGTGCATCCGGGAGCCTGGCGGTCGTAAATCCTTTTCAACAGACATGTTATTTCTTCTAAGGGAACAAACAGATTTGTTGTAGATCAGAGAGTCAACTGACAGATGGCCTTTGTGAAAACACACCATTTGTATAAATAAATTATATTTTTACCACGGCACTCGGCATTTGTAGTTTCTGGAGAAAATAGCAATGCCCCCATTCTTTAGCTTGGGCTTGAACTGGAAAAGGCCGTTCTGTGTGTGCGCGGCTCACACCGCACAGACCTGCCAAGGCAGATGCTGAAATCCAAATCCTCTCCATGTCTGCTGCCTCTCGCCATCACAGGCCCTGCCTAGAGGTAGCAGGGTGGCCTCCCAGACAGCATCGCGGAGCAGAGCGAGCGAGTGATCAGCTGGCACGCTCCACGAGCCCTAGTTCTGTTTCCGTTAAACTTCATGATACCATGTGCCTCGGGTTTCCTAACCACAACTTTGCATAATTGGGACTGATGGTGGATTTGTCTACGAGACCCGGGACATTTCATTTCGCTTTACCACACAGCTCATCACTTCAGTGATGAAATGGCTGGTCAGTTCCTTTACAGCCCAGACCAGCCTTGATGCTGAACCTGATGCTGTAGAAGTCATGCACGTTGGAGCGGCACACACGTAACACACGCTTCAAATATTTACACATTCATGCACAAATGTGCATAATATGTATTTATATATGTGCATCTGTACTCTTCCTAACTCTAAACATCCTGCTCTCTGATTTCCTTTTTATCTTTAAATTACCATACAGAGGAAAAAGTTTTCCCTTCGGCGTTTTCATACAGACTTTTTTTTTTTAAGATTTATTTATGTGTATGTATGTATCTGTGCACCACATGCATGCAGTGCCCTCAGGGACCAGAAGAGGGCGTTGGACCTCCTAGAACTGGAGTTACAAATGGTTGTGAGCCATCACCCAGGCATCTGTAAGAGCAACAAGTCCTTATAACCACTGAGCCATCTCTCCAGCCCCCAATAATTTGGTGGGGTTTTGTTTAAGTTTTTGAGAACTTCATGGATGAGTACTGTATTTACATCATTTCCACCCTCCCTCTCCTCTCTCCAACTCAGTCCCTCCACTCCCTCTCAAATTCATGTCCTCTTCTTTAATTATACATATATATGTATATATGCACCCATGTGTATATAAGTAAAACATTGAGCCAATGTAGTGTTGTCCTTCCGTACATGTTTAGGGCTGACTACCTGGGGCTGGATAACCTATCAGGGTCATTGTCCCTGGGGACAACTACAGCCACTGTGGGAAGTTCTTCATCTAGGAGTAGAGTCTGGTAAATTTGTTCTGTCTGTGTTGGCATGTCAACTTGTCCGACCTTTATGCATATTGTTGAGATTTCATGGATTCACCTTCTCTGTTGTGTCTAGAAGACACCATCCAGCAAAGGTATCCTGATCCTCTGGCTCTTACCTTACTGTGCCCCTGTTCTCTGAGCCTTGGATGTTCTCTGCCTCCACTGGGGCTGGCAGAAAAGGATAGGTTTTTAATTAATGTTTTTCAGGATCAGGACCGGTGAAACGTTTCTCTTCTTAGGAGAATTCCAAGACATGAATTCCAGCCACAGATGGAAGAAACGGGGTTGAGGGCACAATGATCGCCTTTCTTTCTTTCTTCCTTTCTTTCTTTCTTTATCCCCCTCTATGAATGATTTAGATCCTGAACAAGAAAACAAAAGTTTAACATTAATCATGTCCACCATTCAAAATCTAGTGACCTGAGAGACTTTGCATGTTTCCAGCTTTAACAAGAAAGATTAACAAGACTGATTGATTACCAGGACTTCCCCAGCGATTAGATATTTTCAAAAGCTGTATTTATTCTTTAAAGTGATTGCTGAGCTGGGAGGTTCATTCATAACCTCAGACCCCCAGACTGCTCTGAAGAGTTATGTTGGTAGGTAGGCTGATGGAATTACCACAGCATCCAGGGCAGTCCACTTCCAGCTGGTGGTTTCCCTCTGTCTGTATGCCTGTCTGTCTGTACGAGACAGATTTCTTGAGGGGGAAGGAAACACAAGTGTACTTACCTCAGGAAGAAAAGTCACCACAAAGCAGAGTCAGGATTGTACCTACGTCCCACTTGGTGAACCAGTGAGCTTTTGTTGGGGTCACTAACAGGAGTATGGGTGATGGATTATTTATAGGACCAGGGGTGACTCAAAAGCAGCTATATCACCAAAAAAAGCCCACCCCAACACCCATGGAAGCTCACAAAAGATGCAACCCTGGAGCTTTCTGCACCCCTTGCCGGCAGCTCCACAGGTCAGAGAAATCTCTCTACAACTCAGCTGCTCACTGTCTCCTACCCCACAGTCGTTCACTGTTTCTAAAACCCTGGGAAAGCTTATATGCTTCAGCTTCCTCAGACCTGTGACTGTTGGCCGGCTAAGTTTCCCCCACCTCCCACTTCCCTCCTGGAGGAAGCTGTTTCTGTTTGTTTCCTTGCTGGCCTGTGTAGCCCAGACTGACCTTCAACTCGCTTTGGAGCCAAGGACAACTTTGAACTTCTGATCCTCCTTCCTCTACCTCCGAAATGCTGTGTTAGGTGTGCACCACCATGCCCGGTTAATTTACCAGAGACCAAACCCAAGGCTTCATATATGCTGGGTGTGGTAGTTTGAAAGAAAATGGTTCCTAAAGGGAGTTGGCACTATTGGGAGGTGTGGCCTTATTAGAGGAAGTGTGTCACTGTGGGGGTGGGCTTTGAGGTCTTTTTCTCAAGCTTCACTCAGTGTGAGAGTCAGTCAACTTCCTGTTGCCTCTGAGTCAAGATGTAGGAATCTCAGCTCCAGCACCATATCTGCCTACACACCACCATACTCCCCATCATGATGATAATAGACTGGACCTCTGAAACTAAGCAAGCCAACCCAATTAAATGTTTTCTTTATAAGAGTTGCTGTGGTCATGGTGTCTCTTTACAGCAATAAAAACTGGGCAAGACACTGGGCAAGCACTCTCCCAATTGAGCTATATCCCCAGCCCTTCATCTATCTTTATGACTCTTGGGGTATCTTTATGAGATCTTGGGGGATCTCAGCTTGCTTCAAAGAAGGATCAGAAACACAAACAAAAATCATCTGGATGTACAAATCTTGCACACGTGTGTACTTCCATCTGCCAACTATAAATATATAGCGGCATGGTCATGGTCCTATTGGAAAAGGCAAGGAGATCAATAGATCCTAGGGGAGGAAAACTGATCCCCAATTGTGTGTGCATCATACACTGGATCAGAACTGATCGGGGGAAAATAGAGGTCTGTTTAATCCACAGATGATGCATTAGATTGTGTGGGGGTGGGGGTGGGGGACATGGTTGAGAGGGAACATGGTCCCAGTGCAGGCAGGAGGATCAGCAGGGTTTTGTTTTGACTTTTTTTTTTTTTTTTTTGGTTTTTCGATACAGGGTTTCTCTGTGTAGCTTTGCGCCTTTCCCGGGACTCACTTGGTAGCCCAGGCTGGCCTCGAACTCACAGAGATCCACCTGGCTCTGCCTCCCGAGTGCTGGGATTAAAGGCGTGCGCCACCACCGCCCGGCTTGTTTTGACTTTTTGAGACAGGGTTTCTCTGTGTAGCCCTGGCTGTCCTCGAACTCACAGAGATCCACCTGCCTCTGCCTCCTGAGTGCTGGGATTAAAGGCGTGCGCCGCCGCCGCCGCCGCCGCCGCCGCCGCCGCCGCCACCACCACCCGGCTGAGGATTAGCAGTTTGAGGCCAACCTCAGCTACACAACCAGTTTGAGGCTGCCTCCCATACACGAGACCTGTCTCAAAATAAAAGGAGGGAGAGAGAACAGAAGGAAGACGATTTTAAAGGGCAAAATGAATGAACTTCTTTTTTTAAATAGGTGACTTGGAGCCAGTGAGGTGGGCCAGTGGGTAAAGGGGCCTGCCACCAAGCCTGGTGACCCGAGTTAGATTCCTGGAACTCACTTGGTGGAAGGAGAGAATTGACTCCCTCAAGTTGTGCTCATGTGCAACATGGCACATGTACACCCCCCCCCCACACACACACACACATACCAGGTGCACAAATAAATAATTGATTGATGAAATAAAACCGAGGACTTGTGGGTGAATTTCCAGCAGATCCAACAGGACATGAGTCTTTCTGACTGCACTCTGATCTGAACCATTCATTTTCAGTCTCTGCGCCAGGCCCCACGCCTGTCTGAAGGTAGATGCACTTTACCCAGCATCTCAATAAAACCTCACCAGACATCCTGTAAGGGTTTTTCTGGCACAGCCTATCTTGGCAACTGGAGGCCAGGCAATACCACGATGTCACACCATGCCACAAACCTCACGCAAGACATTTATTGGGGACACCAACAGAAAATGGCAGCTGCCTCTGAACTGGAAGAGGAACAACAGAGAGCTGTTGGAGGGTCTTTGGAGCATGCCCAGTGAACTAGTGGAAAAGTACAGCTGGATGTATTGCCCAGTGGTTAACTCTGAAACATTCTTTGGCCATTAACATGGATACAGTTGGGATTTCCAAGTGTCTAAGTGTTACAGCTCAGAAGGAAAAGGTATCCTGGCAGCTGGGAGCCAAGGAATGTCACAAAGTCACACCACACAACAAACCTCACCCAAGAGATTTATTGGGAGGGAAAAACCCAGGAGAGTAGCTGCATCTACCTCAGTGAGAAGCAGCAGCAGCAAACTGAGCTGAAGACAGAGTTTATATAGGATTTCTTGAAGGGGCGGAATGGGTGGAGCTTTCTGGGGTGGCCTGGGATTGGAGGGATTATGTGGCCTGATCTTGGGGCAGGCTCAGGAATTGGTAGGATTTTTTTTTTCTGTGGAGTGGGGCCTGGCCACTCTCTCACGTGGGTGGGGGTGGGGGGGAGTGGGGGCAGGGAGTGTTGGTGGAAAAGACTATTACAACTGATATGGAAGTCTGGGGCAGGGCCTGGTCCCCAGGATGCCTGGAGGGGCCTGGCGGGGCCAGGCAGGGCCACCAGAGTAGTCTGGGGGTGAAGCCTGGCAGCTGGAGGTCTCTAGGGGCAGAGTCTACAAGGGGAGTTCTGTGCTCAGCAGGGAAAGTCACCCATACTGACTAGCCAACACCAAGTCTTGGTCAATCGGAGGAAGGATGTTTTTCCCTTGACCTTTCTACCTTACACATCCCAGTCACTAATGGTGTCAACTCAGAATCAATACGCGGGTTCATCGCATTATACACACACGGGTCAAGGGTTAAAAAAAAATGTTCCAGCCGAAAACTGTCATCCACCCACCTCCTACCATTAAGTTAACTGCCTACTCCTTGAGGATACAGGTTGGGAGAGGTCCAAGAGGCTTTCGATCAAATGACTGAGTGCAAAACTTCCTTTGGACTGGTGACTCAAAAGCGGCTGCACCACCCAAAAGCTCCCCCCACCCCCCAACTGGTGAAGGCTCACAAAAGCGCAGCCCCTGCAGCTCTCTGCAGAACTTGCAGGCAGCCCAACAAGTCAGAGAAGGATCTCTGCAACTCAGCTGGTCAGGGCCTCCTCCCCCTCCCCGGGAGTTCACTGTTTCTATAACCTTGGGGAGAGGCCCTGCGGAACCTTGAAAGTATCAACTTTCCCAGACTCGGAGGGTTTGTTTACCTGATGAGCCCCCACCCCCACCCCGTCCCCAGCAACCCCCCACCTCTGCCTTTGGAGAGAATGTTTCCATTGGCAGGAAACCACTATACACAGTATATGCCTCCATCTCAGTGGAAGGTTTCTGGTTATGTGTTAAAAGCCCGTGATAAAATATGAGCCATTGAACTCCATCTGCCCAATGGAAGTTGTAGGTCTGTCCACTATATTTCCTGCAAATTTTGGAGCTGGTAGAGATTATTCTGGCTGGGTATCTCTAAATGCTGTGGAAACTTTGCCTGTGGTTTGCTGGGTGGCCTTGGCTGGACCACTACATCTATCCAAGTTTTGATTCATGAAGCTTTTGATTCTGCGGCAAAACACAGTATTGTGTAGTTGACGGCCCCCTTGACTCTGAGTGACTCCGTCATTTACAGCTGGTCCCCAACTTAACACTTTCTCAGCTTTACCATTGGGCAAGAGTAAATAGCATTCAGTAGAAATCATGCCTGAAGTTTTGGATTTCCACTTCTGTACTAGTGATGTGTGGTGAGCATCTCTTGGGATGCTGGGGGAGGTGAGGAACCATTCCTCACTGGTGAGCCGGGCAGGAAAGATTACCACTACCACCACAGTGCCTTGTGCTTAGCCAGTGAAGTGTACTGCCCTTATGTCTTAATTCGGCTTACACCATTTACAGGGACGTAACCCCATCTTACATGGCAGAATCATCTGTATTTGAAGACACTTCCAGAATGAAATGGGGAGGCTCTTGAGTAACACACTTTGCAGCTTCATCCTTTCTCTGAAGAGCACATAACCAAATAGTGGACTAGACAAGTCGCAGAGGGTTCATATAAATCCAGCAGATAGCCCCTGAATTGGGGGGCAGAAGAATCAAGAGTAAGGTCTTTCTTGGCTACATGGCAAGTACAAGGCCAGCCTGAGCTACTTGAGACGATGTCCAAAGAAAGGAAAGAAGTCAGGAATGGAGGCACAAACATTAATCGGAGCACTCAGGAGGCAGAGGAAGGCAGATCTCCGTGAGTTTGAAGCCAGCTTGATCTACCTATCAATTTCCAAGCCAGCCAGGGCTACATAGTCCTTGTCTCAAAGAGAAGATGGAAAGAGGGAGGAAGGGATGGAGGAAATGAGGAACAAAGGAAAAAATGGAGGAAATAAATGTCACATTAAAATGACTTTTTTTTTTTTTTTTGAGAGGGTCTCTGTTTATGGTGATACAGCCCAGACTGGCTTTCAATTCACAGAGGTCCACTTGCCTCTACCTCCCAAGTGCTAGGAGTAAAGGCATGTGCCACCATACCTAGCCACATGTACCATTTTTAGAAGAAATTACAGAGAATGTGACTATTATGTGCCAATGAGTAATTCAATTACATTTCTCTGAGCATGGCTGACTGGGGGTGGGGAGTGATGGTCAAGTTCTCCTCCAAGGTGCTGGAACTGTCTTGAATGATGGTTTAAAGATTATTTTTTAATAAGAAAGATGGACACTCCCTCTAGGAATATGCGAAGATGCCAGGAGGAGACATCTCAGATGGACATCTGAACTCCTTTAAATACCCATTTCTGGAAAGAGGACTGCATGCTGCTTGGATTTCTGGGCTGGCAAGGATTTTCAAAACAAAAGATGGGAGGGTCATACCCAGAAAGCATAAAGGGTTTAGGTGGGAGAATTAAGGCTGTCCTGCCTCTCCGACTATGGGGTCCCCTGCCGGAGGAGATGAAAATGGAAACTTATTTACAGCATAAGGAAACATGCATAGTTTGGGGGGGGGGGGAGCAAAGATGGCTGGTTCTTAGCCAACACTCAAGCTTAAAATGCACCTTCTCAGTGGAAAGCACTGTCTATAAATTCCAGCTGCCGGCTCAATGAAATGGCACTGGGCTAGGGTGGCAGGGTGGTTAGCCTTTCCCCACCCAGGCCATCACAGGCATCGGTCACCCCAAAGCCCCCCACTGCGCACATAAACGTAATGATC